CATGCTTCGTGGGCGTCGTCGATGAACCTCACTAGACGAGAGTCAATGGCATCCATCACTAACTGAAGGTCCAACTCTCTGCCGTATCACGGATTATAGTGTTCGATTAACATACACACGTTTTATCGTCTAGAAGTATATCAACTTGCCTACCATGATGCACTCGGTATTTTCCATGCTCCCTAAATGGAAACGTCAAGTGCTTCATAGTAATCAACCTCATGTCTACAAAGCAACTCTAATTCATACATCTCTCGTTGGAATTCTCTCGAAACATTTTTGTAATTTAAAGTTGGCACATATTGCTTGACGAGCATCATAGCACTGCTATAGCGATAAACCGTCGGTTTATCGCTCATTCAGCGGATGAAGATTCTTCCCATCCATTGCCTTTTGCGACCCCAAGTGGCACCCCAAACTCCCCACTCAGTGAACACAATTCACCACAATTATCACAAAACTACATAACTGTAAACGTTACCGAATTCAATATTTCAATCAACGACAGGCTCTCGATACATTCACTCGGAAGAGTGTTCTTCCCCACCCTCAGTACAAACGGCATGTGCAAGCCGACCGTCAACATCAACGCAAAGAACCTGACAATAAGGCGTTGTAGATTTTCAATTCAAGGAAGTATTATTCCCCACTCCTAGTTCGATGGGATCTCCGGCGACAGCTTCCTCTGGACTCCGCTCGGGTGATATAACCTCGACCACACTCTCTCTTAACAACCGCTTACATATGGTACCTACAAGACTCAGAGAATAAATAACAGATGAGGAATACGCAGGTTCGATCCCTGGCATCCACGGATGTTGCTAGGCGTAAAACCTTATGCCTCGGGCGTATGTGTTAGAAACTTCTAATGAGCCAAAGCGCATATGGTTTTACACTGGAATTGTACTTTAGCGGTAGTAACAGGTTACTCAATCAAGCGTACAAAGAGAGGTATCATATCTTCCAAGGGATACAGTTTACAACTCCTGAGAAAATCCCTGCTGGCACCGTCATGCGTCTATCTATGTTCGTTCCAAGTTAACTCGGAACAAAGTGAAAACTGTGTTAAAAAGTCCAACTACAATGATAGCGATATTTTATTGAAGGCATGGAAACTTAACTAAATTTACCCACTGCCGCCATTATACATCAATAACAATATCGCTCGCCCCCTAGGATATGACGACTACGCCCCGGGAGATGCATCATCGGCACTTGCACATAATACACAATTTGAGTCGACGCATTAAAAGGTCTCGAATCATCGATCACAAAATGGGGCATGGTATGTTCCGTTTTTCATATAAATAAATTCAAGATGATAATGTTCGTTAACCCAAAACACGACGTTTCTCAAAACTGTCATAAAAATTTCCACTCGTACTGCTGCAAACAAATATATTCCGTCAGCAAAGATGCTTCCAAGTGTTAAATTTTAAAACACAGGTTTATTCGATAACAGTACACAAATCCTACCAAACTGAAACACTTGGTCCTCCTTCATCGTAATGCCGTAAGTGTCATCAGCCCAACATCATTATTACATCGTGATGACTTCCCTTCATACTGCACAGGAATTCCCCC